ACACCAGTATAGCCAGTGCTTCCCACCAGTATAGCCAGTGCTCCCCACCAGTATAGCCAGCCTCCTCAGTCCAGTCAGTGCCCCTAGTCCTGCCCACCCAGCACTGCAGCCTGTGGGGCAAGGGTCCCCCATTTACACCAGCACTGCACCCACAGAGCAGGCACTGGCTCAGCCCAGCCTGCTCCCACACCACCAGCTGCAACCTCCCCAAATGCAGGGGACCCCAAGATGTCACCACCATCGCCTGCTGAGGTTCGTACTCATCCACATGTCTTAGGAAGAGAGAAATCCTGGCAGGTTTGGGGCTGGCTGGGCTGTCTGGTGTGCAGAAGTTGCTGGCACCCTGGTTTGTGTTGGCTGATGCTGGAAATGCCTGCACAGTCAGGCAGCAGCAAGCTCCCCTCTGCCTGCAGGCAGGCAGGATTGGGTGTGCTGGTTAATAATTTCATTTAATTACCTTGGACTGCGATAAGCAAAGATAACAAGGCTGGGATCCCTCTCTGTTAGCAGTCGCCATGGGACGTCAGCCCTGTGCCTTTAGCAAGCAGTGTGTGCAGTGACTTGTTTAGTTTTGGGAAGCAGTGGCAGATGCTTTGCAGTCTTTCTTGATAATCACAAACTTACTTTTAATACCTTGTCAGATATTTGCTCTGTGCATTTGCCCGCCTGTGATAAAGCCGCACATTAATCATTAATGAATGCTTTAAGGCAGCTCAAAGGTATTTTGTTGAACACAGAGAAAATCCTCCCGCGCTGCTTTACAGAGATTGTATAGCGAGTGCCCCTTGTCCAGCCCAACCCCTCTCCAAGAAAAGGTTGGAATTGCAGCACGGGATTGCTTGGGGAATTTCCTGCAGCATATGGGTCCATTTCGAAAGGCAGAAGCAGAAGGGCAGCGTCTCAACCAGCTACTGAGGTATTAAAGTAACACGATATCTCAAACACAATTAAAAACAGGGTCCAAAGTCACCTGTGCATAAACACCTATGCTGTGCAGACAGATCCCATGGGGGCTCCGCAGCCCAGCCCTGCAGGGGGGAGGTGGCAGAGATGCGGGGACCCCCAGGACAGCTTGGAGGGTCCCTGTGCTTACCTGATTTCCGCAGCGTGACCCTGGGGAGCCCAAGGGGCAGGTGCTGCCCCGTACTCCACGACATGGGGGCTGCCGCTTCTGCCCAGCTGTGCTCACGCCTCCGTGACTTTTTGGCAGGGTCTGATGAAGCTGCCTGGCTCCTGGCAGATCTCTCCAGTGGGAGTGGGAACAGGGGGTCACGTGGAAGTGGCCACCGCACCGACGCTCCCTCCCCGCTGCTCTCGTCACCCCACGGGGACCCCAGCGAGGGCTGGAGCTCGGCTGGCAGTGGCTGGTGGCCTTGCCTGCTCCTCGGTGCTGGTCCCAAAGGTCTCTCTGCTGCCTCGAAAACTTGCTGCCTTTGCTCTTCGTTGCCAGACAATGTTTTTCCAGGACAGAGGCAGATGCTAATCGTTTTTTCCCCCCAAAGCAAACAGCTCCGTGCGTGCCCAGGCACTGGAGCTGCCCGCTCAGCACAGCTGCTGCTGCCGGCGGAGAGGTTGCGTCCCTGCTCCACGGAGGATGGTTCCTCCTAAGCGTGCCTTTACCATGCTCCCGGAGAAATCAGATCGCCCCAGAGGAAGCCGCACGCCCACTCTCTTTAGCAACCACTGCAACAGCCAAGCCCGGCACCAGGGCAACCGCTCGAGTTATCGTGATTATTCCCCGGCGTGTTGCAACACCCCGTCATCTCCCAACTGCTGTACGGTCTGGGGGAGCCGCTGCTGCACCCCATGGGTGAGGACTGCAGGAGGGAGAAGCAGGCCCTGCACAGGGGCCATGGGCATCCTGGTGGCACCAGGCAGCTGCATTGCTGCCCCGGCTCTCATCCTGCTGAGGTGCAGCCCCTGCCTGGATAGGGCCCCTCGTCCCCATCCCTGCTGTGGCTGGAGCTGCTGTGTTGACCATCCCTGAATTGTCATGGCCTGGGAAACCAGAGATTATGGAAGGAGAAGGAGTTAAACCACCCCAGCAGCTCCTTTGGCTCACAGATGGGCACTGTGGTCGGATGCTGCCTGGGCCACCTGTGCCAGTCTGCAGATGCCCAGCGGTTCGATCAGAGGATGTGGACAGGGATGGTTTCCACCCAGAGGAAAGGGATGAGGGGTAGCTGGGGGGCACTGCCAAGGTGCAGGTACCGGCCACATTCCCATATCCCTGCTTCCATGGTTGCATGCACTGGCATGGCCACATCCTGTCCTGACGCTTCTGTCCCCAAGAAGGCCTGGAGAGAGAGGCCAGGCTGCTGCAGCACAGGGGTCCTTCTTCACTTATGCTTTTATTTTTCATAAACGGCCTCGTCCTTCTCTCCCTCCCCTGAGCCACCACTCCCAGGCTTCCCACTCCCACTCGCACACTTGGACTGAAGGGAATATTCTTTCTGGAAGAAAAGAGAGAGAAATGGGAAAGGACTGCACAGGTATTTCAGAAACGTAGGAGGAGTTGCTGGTAATTTGCTACTGTCATTAAAAAATTATCATTATTATTATTATTATTATTAAT